ATACAGTCAAAAGTCTTTAATCCGGACTCGTCGAGACTTCAGCAATTCCGGATTATAGACCATCAGTTTAAATCTGGTAAGATGGCATGCAGAAATTATAAAATTAAAAATATGAAACCGTAATTTATGAAATAAAGAACAATTATGATCTAAAGGTATCAAAAATTTACAAAAAAAAAAAAAAAAAAAAAAAAAAAAAAAAGAACGTTTACTTTATTTAAACATTTCTTCAACGCGCGCATGCGTAAAGCATACATACGCATAGTCGAATTAGAAAATTGCACCAGAAAACTATTTGATATTTATAAGACGAGGAATTTGATTAAATCATATCAAAGACGGAGTAATTGAGATAAATACTAACATTTAGTAGGAATTAAAAGCCGAATAAAATAAAACACTGCCTGAAGATAAGGATAGTGCTGACAGATAAACTTCCAGTTCATTGCGCCCTGCGATCATAAAATAATTAACGAAATGAAAGTCAAAAAATAATTTATCATATAATTTAATGGGATTAAGATATTAAAGAATTATCTATACAAAATTCATCAATAATTTTATATCATGATAGTAAAAGCATGTGGTGCACTTGATAAATTTATAAAGTTCATGGCTTTTGACAGTGAAATTTGATTATTAAATTTCATCGCTTAAGTGCCCATGGTTTAACTACTTGTGATATAAAAATGGAGATGAAATTTGTACCAATAATCATTTAATTTCTTGCTCCCATTAGACTGTATGACAAATTATTTTTCTACTTTTAATTCATTAATTTTTTCACGAGTTTTAAATATATTTTATAATTAATATAAAGTTTATTTTATAAAAATCCCTTTGTTGTTTTTATTTTCATCTTTTTAGTCTCAATGACACATTATCAATTAAATTATTCAATTGAAAAATAATTTTTCAACAATGAATAATTACTTTTTTACTTCCAATAAATCACTTATGTGAAATGGTTGAAGTAAATCCAGAGATTTTGCTTTACATCAGAAATCTCTTACGATTTTATACATTTTCCCCACTCTATATGATGGAAGACACTTTTTTCCCTCTATGAGGTACAAACAGTAAAATTCTGACAGCTTTAGTTTGTTCATGAAATGAATATATGCAAAAGTTTCAACATTAACACGTTGACTGCTGCGTGCATCTGACGTGGTTTGCCCATGACGGTAACTTGAAATTTTTATTATATGACGTATATTACCTACAGAAGATAATGTGATTTACATAATCATGCTTAATGCATTTTTCCTGGTGGGGGTCACTGGTAACCCCCAAACATCTGTAGACCATTTTTGCTATTTATAATTTAAATTTTTACACTTTATTATTATTCAAACCATTATACAGTCAAAAGTCGTTAATTCGGACACCCATAATCCAGAATGATCTATAATCCAGACCTCAAAGCTACAAACTTTCTGCGCGACGCATGCACTTAAGACCTTTACGGCTGCGAATATGCATGTGCGCGTGCGCAAAATACATTTACGAATGCGCGTTTAATGTATAACAGACGGTATAAGGTAAGCTAAAATTATTTAATTCAGTTAATGTTGCAGATTGCGTTGTTCCTTAATCTTCGAATTGGATCGGCTTATTATTTTTTGCAGACTGTTAGAGCAATTTTAAAAAGTAAGCTTGAACTTTCGATTATGTCAAATAGAATTTCGGATATATATTTACTAATATGTAAAGGATCTACAAAGCGAAAGTATGTTTCGAAGTCCATTAAACAAAAAGTGTAATCGATGCAAAAAATGGATAAAGGCATTTCCTTTGTTTATCTAACTTTAACGTTTGTTTATCTAAACTTTATCTTTAACACAGCGGCGCAATGAATTGGAAGTTGATCTGTCAGCACTATCCTTATCTTCAGGGCAGATGTTTTTATTTTATTTGGCTTATAATTCCTTACTAAATGTAGTATTTCATCTCGATGTACTCCGTCTTTGATATGATTTAAATCAAATTCCTCGTTATTATAATTCGCTTCCGATAGCGAAGAAAGTGACAGAGGTTATTGAAAACGAAAAAATTTCGATTGACAAATTAGTCGGTATTCTCGACACAGCAATTATAGGACTTGAACAGCGGAACTTTGTAACTGAACAAGAAATTATGTCTGTTTATAAAATTAAAGAGAATATATGATCACATAAAAAACGAAGCAACTTAAACAACTTACATTGAAAGAAAAAATGTTTAATAAAGTAAACAAATAAATATTAAGCTTTTTTTTTTTTTTTTTTTTTTTTTTTTGAAATTTTGATACCCTTTAGATCATAATTGTTCTTTATTTCATAAATTACAGTTTCATATTTTTAATTTTATAATTTCTGCATGCCATCTTACCAGATTTAAACTGATGATCTATAATCCAGAAAAATCGATAATCCGGAATCGTCGAAGTCCCAACGAGTCCGGATTAACGACTTTTGACTGTAGTAACAATGGTACTATTTAAAAACTTATCAGTATTGATATTTACTCTAATTATGTATTTTGCTATTGGTCGCGTTGACGGTCACTGGTGGCACCCATGGCACTGTAGCCAAGTTGAGTGTCGGTCACCGGTGACCCCCACGGCAATCAATGTGTTAAATTTTAGAAAAATCAAAACCAGATTTTGAAAACTATTGCTTAATCACATGGTACTGTCATATTTATTAACAATGTGTGTACAAAATTTGAGCTTATCAAGAAGTAGTTATAAATGTATGACAAACTTTTGACCATAGCGAGAAACACTAGAGTGAACTAAATAAAAGCTTATAATTTATACATGGCAGTAACATGCTATTCATCGAGAAATTTCCAAATTCATAGATCACCTAAACTTTGAAATTTTTTCAGCACATCTTTAATGCTGGAACCAGTAAGTATTACAATAATTTATTATATATTATTTAATATAATAACTGTCTTTTTTTTTTATATAATTCATTTTGAATAAAATTTGTGAAATGCTCAGTATTCATGACACATACAAAGGAAGCACGGCAATAATTATCTGGTTCAGTCCTTGCATGTTAATCTATAGTAGAAATGTAGTTGGTTGCACCTTTGGCAGATGCGATGGATATTTTAGCTGCTGATTTGAGAACTGAAAACTTCATTTATTTATCTTCTTTGGTAAAATATAGTTCTAGAAGACAACTATTCCACTTTCTGAAAGTCTTATCCATTATATAAAGTATTTCTGGTACTTTTCCATTTTGCCGGCGCAAGCAATAAAGTTGCCAAAAATGATACAACCAACGCCAAAAGGAATTTCCTCGCTGGTAACCTTTTACACCTCATTTTTCAAAACAAGTTGCAGCCATTTCTTATCAGATTGATTGTTTCTTTCAATACTGGCATACAATTACATAGAATTTTTACTAGATAGTTCAATTTTATGCCCTAAGGCTATTCGCGGTAATTAAGTCAATTAGGATGCAATCACACAGATCACCTGAAGGCGAATATACAGAAAAGAATTACATACAGAAAATTCATCAATTCTAATGACAATGGACTAGTGAAGTAACACACTGCGCTTTTACATAATATCTGAGTAAGCTATTTGTACAAATTGAAATAATTCTTGCATTTAAACTTGTATTCCAAATTAAGATTTAATTTGAAATTAATTTAGATAATTATTGACAGATTTAGATTTTTGTAGCGTAGTTTATACGAGATGAGATAACTTGTGGTCACGTGATATGAAACAGCAAATCAGGAGGATGTTGTACCATGAAAGCATAGTAAATTCTTAAATTAATGTCTTTTTACAAATTTATTGTCTTTTTGCAAAATTTTACCGATATTAAAATGCTTATGCCTTCAGAATGAAAATTTTTTAGAACTAACATTTTTGTGTAAACTGTGTTCTGTTGCCAATAAAGTCTCCTTGGCGAGATTTGTGCCGGTGAAACAGAAAAGTAAAGTACTTCTTTATAAATTTTTTAAAAATGATATTAACTTCCTGCAGCAAAAAAAGTATGGCTGTTCTAAAGAGTATCTAATACATTAAAAATTTTTTAAATGTCCATTTTTGGGATTTGCTAGCAATGGAAAAAACTGCGGTAAAATTTCTGAATGAATACAGTATTTTGCCACAAACTGCTAAAGAGAACAACTGTTTCGAAAAACTTCCACTAGAACAAAAGAAATAAAATTGTGCTTACAAGCAGGTTCGTTGGTTATTTTGGGAACAATTGGAAGTAAAACCTACTTACAATTGATTATTTTGGGAATTACTTACAATTATCGTTGTTTTATTTTGGGGATAGTTTTGGGTTTGCTTTACTGATTAATTTTGGGGGTTGACTGAATTTGGAGTTTTGCTTGTAAATAGATTTGCTGCTTGATTACTTAATTAGAAATCAAAATAGATATTCAAAAAATGGTTTTTTGCAATTATAACACATTATTCTTTATATCTTTTTTAAAACTTTATTACCAAACTGTAACAAGATGGTTGCACTAATGTATAAGTACTGCACTTATTGTTGTTACATAAATCCCAGTCTGTTTCTGCATAAAATCATCCATTCTCATTACTGATGAGCTTTAGCATTATAGATTAAACAAACATACATGTTTTACCCAATATGAACTACTACTGCACAACTTCATTCAACATATGAATTTTTTGGGCCAACATAATTTATTTTTATATATTTTCACCAAATGCTCCAATTTTGTTATACAGTTCATTCAATGTTCATCTAGAAATTAAAAAAGTCCCACAAAATTATTTTCTATATTTTCATTTACATCACTTCAAAATAAACAGTCCATACATTTAGCATCTGCATAAATCACACAAGTAACAATCACAGTAAGATTTAACCAACAACTATATAAATAAAAATAATAATAATATTGGAAATGTAATGAAAAAGTATTCTATGAGACATTCAAAAGTTTTAGGATAACTTTTTGTTTCCAAAATATAAGTGACTAAATATAAAGTACTCAAAATTTTATATTACCTTGAAATTAATGTTTTGAAAAAGATCTACCGGACATTTTGTAAAATGTATTTCTTTACCATCAATGATAGATTTATAGCTGGAAAAAAAAGAGGAGTAATATAATTATAGCAAAGAAAAACCACCTTCAAATATAAAATACAATTGAGCCTTGAACACTGTCAGTTTGAATTACACAGCTATATGCATGTACACTGCGAAAAAAAAAGGAAAAAGAAAAGAAAAATTGGTGCAGTTCTATATTCCCCACTTTATACGAAATTCAAATTGCATCCTTCATGTCTCGAAAGCGAGACTTAGAATATGTATTAGATTTATATATAGCATTGTTCTAACATAGGTATTTTGACACAAAATCGGACTTTTTCTGAAATAATATACCAATTTCTTTCTATATTTAGATTCTACGACTCAAATTATGCCTAAATATTAAATTTCTTTAATTTGATGCCAAATTCAACTTGCCACATTTTTTTCCCAGTTTGCACCAAGAATAATTCACTTGCAGAACTTCTTAATATATAGCAACCTATTTTCCTTTCCCTTCCATTATGGAGGAGTGGGAAAAAAAAGGCACAGCTTTGCTAGCTTTTTACATTGTCCATGATGGGGAAAAAAGTCCCATTGTTTCTAATAATTTTATTTTCAATTAATAAAATTATTAGAAACAAACTATTCAAAGAATTAAAAAGTGCCTACCCAAATGATGTTCTTTCGCGGTGAACAAGTATGCAATTCAAAATGATCAATATATAAATTCACCTATCCTCTAAATTTTGAATAAAAAACTGTAATTTTTGCAGGTATGCTTAGAAATACCATCTACTTTAAGGTGATGATAAATTTTGATATATTCTAATTTCAAAATACAAGGAAGAATCAAGTTTAATAAAAAAATAAAAAATAAATAAAATAAATAAAGATTAATAAAATATATATATCAAATTCAATTACCACTGGTGAGCTAAAATTTTGAGATCTAATTTTTAAAAATGGGAATGGATTTTTACATGTGACTTTTATAAAACTTGGCAATTCGGCATAATTTGAGTCATAGAATCAAATATGGGACAAAATTGGCATGTCATTTCAGAAAAAGTCTGATTTTTGTGTAAAAATACCTATATTAGAATAATGCTGTATATAAATGTAATACATATCTTAAGTCGAGCTTTTGAGATATTATAAACGCAACTTGAATTTCATCAACCAGCCCAGTAGAACGAGAGATATAGAATTGTCTTTAAGTGTACATATTTTTTTAATCAATATATTTGAACTAGTGGCGTAGTTAAACAGGGAAGGTCCACCTTGGGCAGCACATTTTTGCAGGTTGCGTTTTCTGCGTGAAGTTTGTTGCAGGTTGCGTTTTCTGCGTGAAGCTAGATTTCAAATGCTCCATACTCTTCTTACACCTATTTTATTCCTCGAAACTACTGAATGAAAATTATGAATATCAACTAAATTGTAATTCACAGTGACATTAAGAAAAAAGAATTTCTAGTGAACAGAAAAGTATTTCAAAATTTTATTTCCATTATTGCTAAGAATAACAAATTAGGAATGTGGAAGAGCACTCTTTTGGAATTTTTCGCAGTAAATTGTAAAATACGATCTCCAGAGCCAAAAGTTTCAAATATCATAATACTACTGCAAATCACAGCTGTGGAGTCAGAGTCGGAGTCGGATAGATTTTGGGGTAAAAGGAGTTGGAGCTGGAGTCTCTAAAAACAGGTCGACTGCGACTCCAGTTTTCGTTGGACAGTTTGAATTTGAAATGAAATTAAAATTAATTGAGAAAAATTAATGACAAACTGAGTTATTATTTTTATTTATGAACTGTATACATTAATAAATAGTTATTTTCTATTTTATTGACCTACTAATAAATAAATATAAGGGAGCAGGATGGATGTGATATTTGCCATTATTGATTAAACTGATTTATTTAGTTACTAATCTCATTGGTGAATTTAGGTAAGCAGCATGAACTCCTAAAATTGATGCCATTCTTAGGAAGCAAGCAGGAAAAGGAACAACGCAATGGAGAAGTACGTATATGATGATATAGTATTTGTTAGGATTAAGAACATTTTTAGAAGATGTAAATAACCCTAATATTTCACTAACATAAAGACTGTGGAATGATCTTGCAGAACTTGGAAATCTCTTCTTTCAACACCATATATAGCCACAAAAAAAGCTACAATCTGAAGAATTAACAGGAAGACGAGAAAGTTAGAAGATGTAGATAACCCTAATGTTTCACTAACAGAAAGATTGTGGAATGATCTTGCAGAATTGGAAACTATTCTTTCTACAGCATATATAGCCATAAAAAAGCTACAATCTGAAGAACTAACTGGAGGGGAGAAATTGGAAGAATGTGCTGTTTGTTCTTTGTGAAATGGAGGATTTATTGCAGAAGGAATCACTTCTTCAATGAAGAAAAGAAAAACTAGTTTGCTAGACAATACAATCTGCTGTGCTTCAATCATGTAGATCCAAAGCGCTGAATTTTGTTGAATGACGAACAAATTAAAAAAAGCAAAGATAGCTATCTATGAACTTTCATTATAAATGAATTTATTCTCAGAACAACTGGAGTATTCAAATCAGGACAGTTAAACTGCAGACATTGCAACTGAATCTCTATCATCTTCTTCCACTGATGAATTAAGATTTTAAGAAATACTTGGATAATATTGAAAAGGCTAAGGCAAAGCGAATGAAATAAATAACCAAGAGCCTTTAGATATAAAAATGAAAAAACACAAACAAGATTTATACACGGCATTTGAAGAAATAGATAAATATGATTGCTCTTGCAAGATACCTCTTATAGAACTTATAAAAATCTATCCTGGAAAGTTAAAGGAAGTAGTCGTAACAGTAACAGCTTTTCTTCCTACTCAAGTCTGTATGGAAACACTCTTCTCAGTTCTGAAGTTTATCCAATCGGATCTATGATCCTCTAATAAAGAAGATCTTGCTGAATTTTTACTGTTTCTTAGAAATTAATAATACCAGTTTTCCATTTCATAATAAATGCTAATTAATATAAAAAATTTGCCATGCATCAATTTTTTTCTGTAGCATCTATTACTTCTTTTATCAAAAAAATAAGCTGTACCCATGTGTATATGTTTACATATATATGAAGGAGTCGAAGTCAAGAGTCTTTAAAATTCCAGGAGTCAGTTATTTACCCTACCGACCACAGCCCTGTTGTGCAAACTCGACTCAAAACTGCTGTAACTGTTGTTAGCTGAGAGGAGAACTTTTAACAATTACAAATGTTTATTCGGCATTTAAGAAATATTTCTGTGCCATCTACATAACTGCAAGTGCAGCAAACGAGTAATCGATGGATTTGGCAACAAAAAGCAAGGAAAGTAATAATATAATTTAGAGAATTACAATAAGTTTTTATTTCAAAATAAACATAAGAGTTTTAATATATTTCTCTAACTGTCATTTTTTTAGTAGTCTGTTTGTATATTAAGAGGGGCAGTATGCCACAGTCAATTAGGATGCAATCACACCGCTAACCAAATATAAAAATACAAAACATCAAGGGTTAAATTCATCAGTTCTAATGAGAATGCACTAATGAAGTAAAGCACTATGGTTTTACTTAACTTCCGACTGATTAAGCTAATCATACAAATTGAAATAATTCTTGCATTTAAACTTGTATTACAAATTAAAATTTAACTTGAAATTAATGTAGATAATTACTGACAGAATTAGATTTTTGTAGTGTATTTTATGTGAGATGAGATCACTTGGGGTCACGTGATAAGAAATGGCGAATCAGGATGTTGTACCATGAAAGCATAGTAAATTAGTAAATTCTTAATGTCTTTTTACAAATTTATTGTCTTTACTTATTGGCTTTTTACAAAATTGTAAACGATATTAAAATGTTTAAACCTTCAAAATGAACAACTAACATTGTTTATGTGTATACTGTATGTTGTCGCCAATAAAGTCTGCTTCGAGAGATTTGCGCCGGCAAAACGGAAAAGTACCAAAAATTCTAAGAGCTAACATTTGTTAAAAATTTTTTTATGTGTGTTGTCATCAATGAAGTCTGCTGGCAAAATTTACAGCATTATTAACACTTTTTTAATGCATATACTGTGTGTTGTCACCAATAAAGCCTGCTTGGCGACATTTGTGCGTGTGAAATGGAAAAGTACCTAACTAGGGAAATAGGGAAATTCTATGTTTATTTATTTATTTATTTTCAAAAAATGTTTTAGTTCTGATGTTTCAAAATCAGATTATTATTTTGCCTGTTTTTTTGTTTACAAAACTATCAGTAACAATTTACAAGTCTACTTAATTTCTCTAGTTGTGTGTTGCTATGTGTGTAGTACTAAAAAATTTCTTAAATGCAAAATAAGCATTTGTATTTCTTAAATACTTGTTAAAGGATTTTCATCTAGGAAACATTTCTACATCTAGCAACATTTAGAGAAATTGTGAGAAAAGGTCTCAGTAGTGTAGCAATATTTGGAACTTTATTCTTAAAATAAACTGCAAAATTTAAAAGGACAGCACTTCGATGTTCCAGTTTTGTTGTTCTTAGCAATAAGAGAAATATTTCTTTCTTAATGAAGAATTCTTCCTTATTTATGTTATTGTGATCATAATTTAATTGATATTTGTAATTTACAATCAAAAGTTTTGACAGAATAAAAAAGATATGACAAGTTTTGACAGAACAAAAAAGATGAGTTGAAGTTTCGCAATAATTTCTTTGAATACTTCATCTGATCAAAAACTATTTTTCTTCTCAAATTATTTCCATATGGAATCCAGAATCTCATTATTTATCACCAGCCTCGATGATCCACGTGACTAATCTTTAGCGCAGGACATTGAATTAATAAGCGACAAACCAGTCAGATCTAGACCCTATAAAGCATCCCTAAGGCAAACCGAACCGAACTTTTGAAAACGGAGATCCGAAGATGTTGTTTGCAAATAATCGACGGTAGGGGACTCGGACTAATTTCGCCCGATGATTCTAGTGGAGGCGCCCGGGAAAGACCTGAGCGTGTATAGATT